GCCACTCGAGAACCTTTCTTCCCCATCGGTTAACGGTTCTTCGAGCTATATGGCCGGCCCATTGCCACTTCAGCTTACTAATCCGTTGGGCTATGTCGGTCACTCTGGTTTTACTGCGGATATCCTCATTTCTGAGTCTATCACGCAGAGAAACTCCGAGCATAGCCCTCTCCATAGCTCGCTGAGCGACTTTAAGCGTCCTCATACGGCCAGCAGTGAAGGACCACGTCTCAGATCCGTAAGTCATCACTGGCAACACGCACTGGTTGTACAATCTAGTTTTTAGAGATTGAGGTATACCTGACGAAAAGATATGCCGTAATTTCCCGAACGCTGCCCAGCCGAGTTGAATCCGTCGATTGACCTCTCGGTCGAAGTTGGACTTACCTAGTCGGACTATTTGTCCCAGGTAAACGTATTCGTCAACAACTTCAAGCATAGTGCTCCCAACAACTACCGGCACAGGTGTGACATGGACATTGAACATGATCTTTGTTTTATCCATGTTCATCTTAGGACCTATCCGTTGGGAGGCACTATTGAGGTCATTGAGCATAGTGCTTAAGTCCTCCAGCGATTCTGCCATAAGGACTATATCGTCGGCAAATCGAAGGTGATTGATGTACTCGCCATTGATGTCAATACCGTATCCTTTCCAGTCCAGTAGCTTGAAAACGTCTTCCAATGCAGCGGTGAAGAGTTTCGGGGATATAACGTCACCCTGTCTTACACTCTCTGCAGTTGGATAGGTTTTGAGCTCTGGTTCTGTACTCGGATAGCCATCGTAGCCCTACTGTACAAACACTTCAGCACTTCGATATACCGACAGTCAACTTGGCACCGCTGAAGGGACTGTAGCACCGCCCAAATTTCGACGGAATCAAAGGCTTTCTCATAGTCCACATACGCCAGGCAAAGTGGCAGATTGTACTCTTCAGTCTTCTGTACAATCTGCCGCAGGGTATGTATGTGGTCTATGGTACTGAAGCCTTTTCGGAAACCGGCTTGTTCGGGAGGCTGGAAGTCGTCAAGTCTGCGTGCGAGACGATTCGTAATGACTCTCGAAAACAGCACGTAGACGCGGCTCAGAAGGGAAATCGGTCTGTAGTTCTTTAAGAGAGCGTTGTCGCCTTTCTTAAAGAACAAGACCACCGCACTTCTGCTCCACGCCTCTGGAGTAGTGCCACCATGGAGGACGGAATTGAAGAGCTTCTGAAGGACTTCAAGTACCGGTGTTCCACCCGCTTTCAGAAGCTCCGCTGTAATTCCATCCTCGCCTGGGGCCCTGCCGTTTTTAAGGTGCTGGAGAGCCATTCTAATCTCGCTTAGACTGACGTCCGGGATATCATCGGAATAGTGTCGGATAAGACTTGCTCTTGGATCGTTACTCACACTTGCGTGTGGCTCCAACGATGATGTGTACAGCTGCCCATAGAACCTCTCAATCTCACTCAAAATCTCAGGTGTCCCGGAAACGATGTTGCCACACTCAGTCTTCAGCCTTGACAGTTGGCTCTTTCTGGCAGACAGATCTCTGGCAAAGACTTTGGAGCCCTGGTTCCGCTCGATCGCTTCTTTAATACGAGAAGTATTAAAGTTGCGTAAGTCTCGCCGTATGCATTTGGAGATCTGTCTGTTCAGTTGCCTGTATGCTGTCAAATCTGTTGACGATTGCAGCCTCATCTCCCGTCTAACAGCCATGAGATTAAGAGTGTGATCGGAGAGTTTTTGTGTTCTTCTGCGGCGGGTCTTGCAGAACTTAGCTCCGACCGCATGGACAGTTTCCACGAGCTTGTCGTTCATATCGTCCACTGCATTGCAATCTTCTAGGCACTGGAAGCGGTTACGTAACTCGAGTTGAAAGGTTTCGGGATTCTGGATTAGAGCACGAGGGGGACGGAGCGTTGACTTCATTAGACGAGACCTCTCCAACTTAACGTTTAGGTTCAGTGTGCCTCTAACAATTCGGTGATCGCTGCCAGTTTTCACCCTTGCGATCACTGAGACATCACTGAACAGTTGGCGTCTGGTCGTCATAATGAAGTCAATCTCATTTTTTGTCGAACCGTCGGGGCTCGACCAGGTCCACTTCCTGTGGGGCCGCTTCTGGAAGAAAGAGTTCATCATAAAGAGTCCCTCTTTCTCCATAAAGTCGGCCAGCTGCTGGCCCCTTCGGTTCCGTTGCCCTACTCCAAATTTCCCTACCTTCAGCTCACCGCTTTCTCTTGTGCCCAGTTTTGCGTTGAAGTCTCCCATCAACACCGTGTAGTAGGTTTTGGAGGAATGTATGGCTCTGGAAATATCCTCATACATTTCCTCCACCTCCTCATCGGGATGTGCCGAGGTTGGTGCGTAAACCTGAATGACCTTCAGCGAATACCGTTTGGTGATTCTGAGTATCAGGTACGCGACCCTCGTCGACACACTCCCAATCTTTACAACGTTGTTGACGAGAGATTTTTGGACGATAAATCCGACACCTCCTTGGGACAGATGGTCGCCCTCCCGGTGATAGAACAAGTTGCCGGACTCGAGGATTGCCGTGTCTTCCCCCCTCTCTTCGGACCTCGGATAATCCAATAATATGCCAGCGCAACTTGTCTACCTCTTCTTCCAGCTCCAGTATCTTCTCGTCAGTCCTCAGGGTGTGTGCGTTATATGTTGCCAGGTCGAGTCGTCGTAGGTGGCAACCGAACCTCCACCGGAGATTCTTAGCACCCCCTGCCCCGCCGTTACCATGGTCGCCACCGTAGCCAGGAATAGCGGGGCCGCCGGGGACTGGGGGCCGTCTGTTTGTGTATTTATTCATTGGGGGGTATTTGCCATAGTTGCCACGCTTGGCGAGCGGGTTGGCAACCGCAGTTTTTTATTACGTCACAGTTGTCATCAGGAAGACGCTGCTGCCCATCTCCTGCCTGTCTCCCTCTGTCGCCTCTTACGACACCCACGGGAAGATATGGGGTAGTGGATATTCTTAACCGCCACTACACGGCAAAATATATATATATCAACTAATCGGATAAAAATTGTACAACCAAAGATATTCAATTTTATACAAGAATTTTATACGTAGAATCTTTTTCCCCGACCTATAATTTCGCAATTTTATAATACATTTTATGACCGTACTCAAATTATTCAGTATTTTCCTTTAGTGGCATATTTCTTTAATACCAAGCATGTGGTGAATCTAAAATTGTAACTGCAAATACGGAGTATAGAGGTTCAAAAATGAGGTTTAACTAAGCGTAGTTAGTATGTTACACGAGCGCTCTACAATCTGCTACGCCAAGAAAATTTGCAAATTTTACCCCTAATTAGATGTAAAATTTAACCGTTTGAACGTGCAATTTGTAGGTTTTTTGTTTTTTTTTTTTTTGTTAATTTAATTTCATTAATTATACTTATATTTGTTTCTTCATATTTAATATTATGTTTCACATTTGTAATTTATATATTAAGTAATTATATTAGATATATTTGTAGGTTATTTACTAAAAAATGTGTATAATATTTTTAAGTATCTAACTTCAGTGAAGCATATCACACTCCTCTAACGAGTTACATTTTGTACCTTACAGCTTATAATTATTCTGGCCCACGTAGCCATTCAAGCTGTAACACAATACACGCACTGCATAGGTAATAGTATGGTACCTACTGTAAGGGGAGCGTTACAGTAGGTACCATACTATTACTTATACCTTTTAGTATAAATTAAATTATTTCTTTATTATGAATTTACCTCTTTTAATTTTAATATATATATATATATATATATATATATATATATATATATATATATATATATATATATATATATTCCACGGTTGAAGAGCACTACAATAAACAAAATGATAAAGTGTATGCTCATAATTCTAAAGAAGTTGCTCAAGTGGTCGGAAAGGTACCTACATCGTGGTCATCATCCTGCGTCAGTAATGGTTTGGTGGGGCGCGTCTTATTAAGGCATTACAAAGCTACATTTTTGTGAAAAAGGAATGAAAACTTCAGCGAAAGTACATATATAAAAAGACAAACGCGGACCGGTCTTATGTTTTATAGAATGTGTATGTAGCTTCGAATAATTCGATCGCATGGCATGTAATATAACGTCGCTATGTTCTTAAAAAGGATTTTCAACAAGAGAAAATTATATTATGTTGAGCGCTGGAAGCGCTGGAACTTTTAGTATAAATTAAATTATTTCACTTTAATAAACCTAAAACAACAACACTGAATTATCAAAATTAAACCCAACTACAGCAGATGAGGTACTAAAAATAATAAAAGACTTAGATTTTAAAGACAATATAGTAGAAAACCTCGCTATTTGTATTTTTATTTATTTATTTTTACAAAATCAGTGATGGCTATTTTCCAAATAGCCTAAAAATTGCAAAAGTTAGTCTTATTTTTAAAGCCGGAAGTAAACAAGACCCAGACAATTATCGACCAGTATCGGTACTTCCAGTAATGTCAAAATTATTTGAAAAAATACTACATAAATAACTATATTATGACTACCTGACTTCTATTGATTACCTCTATAAAAAGCAATATGGCTTCCGCCCAAAGTCTAACACTGTATCTGCAACTGCTGATTCAGTAACCAACATAAGACTTAATATTGATCAGAAAAAAATTAGACTAGTTATTTTTATTGTCCTAAAAAGGCTTTTTACACAGTCAGCCATGACATCCTATTATTAAAACTAAAAGACATAGGTATCACAGGAAAGGCATTTGACATTTTTAAATCGTATCTTTCCGATAGATTTCAAGTTGTCAAATTTAATAATCAGCAAAGTAGCCCCCAAACGGTTATTTGTGACATTCCACAGGGATCAATTTTGGGACCCCTTTTGTTCCTTTTTTATGTAAACAACATATATTAAATTAATAATAATAATAATAATAATAACGAACTCGAACGGCTACGACGTGAGGCTGTTCCCTCGTCGGATGAGAATGCTACGGCTGAGGATGCGGCGTCACAAATGGTAGAGCAACCCGCAGACGTGGATGCCGCCGTGAATACCCCAGTTGTGGTTGATTCAAACGATGATGGAACAGTCGCCCAGGAACTGGAATTAGAGCATATGAGGAGTACATTGGAAGAGGCGATTGTGGAAACGCGCAGTACGCCTCTCGAAAATCGACCGCGACTTCCCCGCATAGCCCTAACCAAGCGGAATCGGTCTGTCGTGAGGGCTCTGAACCCAATGCTAGTGACCTATTTGGAAGCCAGCCGGGACCTTTGCGAGACGGACTCAATTCTTTTTTGGCGCCGCGCTAGCAGTCTGCCGTATCATAGGCGCCAAGGTTTCCACGGCTGGACGCGCTACTGGCCATATTAGCGCTATCCTAGCATGGAGAAGAAGAATTGAGGAACGTATCGCAAAGGCTAGAGCTCTCATCGGCAGACTGATATGCTTCAGATCAGGCAACAACAGGCCAAGAATTGTGCGCACCGTCAGGATGGCGTTTGCTGGGACAAATGTCAGTTTGTCCGAGCCGGATATAACGCAAAAACTGACGGAGCGCATAGATGTTCTGAAGCAGAGAATCGCTGCTTGGGGAAAGCGGATTCGGCGATATACCGAGAGGTCGACACGGTTCAACCAGAATCATCTCTTCCAGAGTGATCAGAAGAGGCTCTATGAATCATTGGAGCGACCAATGGTAAGTGGAACGGGTCCAGCACCGAATCAGGCCGACACTGTAGCATTCTGGCGCGGCCTGTGGTCAGAGCCCGTAAACCAGAGCGAGGACCCTTGGACGGAAGTTGTGGCGAGTCAGTATGCGGGTATTACGCCCATGGACCCCGTCATCATAACGCCGGATGACGTAGCTGAGGCGGTCCGTAGGGCCCCGAACTGGAAAAGTCCGGGGCTTGACGGGCTGCATCACTACTGGCTGAAGGGGTTCATGGTGTATCACTCTGTGCTCGCCCGACAGTTTCAAGAGGCTCTCAACCAGAAGTCGCTCCCAAGCCTCTTCACTACTGGGATCACTCATTTGGTTCCTAAAGACCAGGGTACCACAGACCCGAGCAAATACCGCCCCATCACGTGCCTACCGACTATATACAAGACACTAACATCCATTTTGAGTGCGAGAATCACTTGTCACCTGGACTCAAATCAGGTGATGTTGCGCGCTCAAAATGGATGTCGGGGCGGTGGTCGTGGAACCAAGGAACCACTTCTTATTGACGCGGTCATTGGCAAAGTGGTGAAACGCAACCGTCGGAACTTCTCCGCCGCCTGGATAGACTACAGAAAGGCATTCAACTCGGTGCCCCATACATGGCTAAAGAGAGTCCTCGAGCTGTACAAGATAGACTGTACAGTTAGAGACTTCCTCGAGCAGTGTATGGGGCAGTGGAGTACGATCTTTTGTCATCTGGGCGAGCGGATGATGGCTGCGGAGAACCACATAAGGATAAGAAAGGGTATCTTCCAGGGCGATTGTCTGAGTCCAATCTGGTTCTGCCTCTCTCTGAACCCTCTCAGTACCTTACTGGAGGGCTCCGGGAGGGGATTTCAGCTACGGAAAGGAGGGACAAAAGTGACTCACCTTTTCTATATGGATGACCTCAAGTTATTTGCCTCCAGTCGCTCCGATCTTATGGAATTGCTAAACATCACTTGTGAAATTAGCAATTCCATTTTAATGGAGCTTGGGACTGATAAGTGTGCGGTCCTCCATGTTGAAAGGGGAAGGGTTGCTAACTCTGAGGGCGTAGACTTATCTATGCCCGTCAACTTAAGGACCCTTTCCGAGGCTGAAACATACCGATACCTGGGTATGTCACAAAACATCGGTATCGATGAGACTGGTATGAAACAGTCAGTTTGCGACGTGTTTTATGCACGCTTGACCAAAGTGCTTAACAGCCTTTTGTCCGGTGTGAATAAGGCACACGCATATAACGGCTGGGTCATGCCTGTCCTCATGTATACCTTTGGCATACTCAGGTGGACTCAGACTGAACTTAACGCCCTGGATAGAAAAGTCCGCACTACCATGACGTCCCATAGGATGCATCATCCAAAATCGTCGGTAATGAGGCTGTACTTGCCGCGGAAGCATGGTGGTCGTGGTTTCTTGAGCGCGCTCACCATGCATAATCGCGAAGTGTGCAGCCTCCGTGATTACTTCCTGGCGAGATCGGATGATCCATTCTATAAGGACGTCATTTCTTGTGATAAAGGACTTACCCCTCTATCCTTAGCCAACGAGCAATGGCAAGACCCGGCAGTGCAGAGCATTTCCGACCGGGAGACCGTATGAAAAGAGAAGGAGCTCCAAGGGAGGTTCTACAAGGCTCTACATGAGCCTTTCGTAGACACAGTAGCCTCCTCCACTGGCTACGCTTTGGTGATCTCTTCGGGGAAACCGAGGGTTTTGTCTGTGCTATACAGGATCAGGTTATTAAGACCAACAACTATCGGAGATAGAGCTTGTCGCCATCCCGGTGAGTCACTTAGGCATGTTATCTCCGGTTGTTCGGCGCTTTCTAACTCTGAGTACTTGCACAGGCACAACCTAGTAGCCAGAATTCTACACCAGGACCTCGCTCTGAAATACGGTCTCGTGGATCGGAAATTGCCGTATTACAAGTACTTGCCGGAAGCCGTGCTCGAAAATGATCGCGCCAGGCTCTATTGGGACCGGGCCATCATCACAGACAGGACTATTCTTGCGAATAAGCCTGATATTGTGCTGATGGACCGGGCACAGTCAAGGATATTTTTGGTCGACATTACCATTCCGTATGACGAGAACCTCGTGAAAGCCGAAACAGACAAGCAAACAAAATATCTGGACCTGCCTCACGAGGTGACCGACATGTGTGGTGGTCTGCCGACCGAAATTATTCCTGTAGTCGTCTCTGCAAACGGGCTAATCCCAGTCAGCCTCTCGGGTCATCTGAGGCGGCTGGGACTACGTGGCGGACCGCTCCAGGTTCAAATGCAGAAGGCGGTGCTCCTCGATACCGCCCGCATCGTCCGCCGGTTTCTTTCCCTTTCCCCCCTAACCCTCGGCCGTTTGGTTTCCCCTGCCGAGGGCCTCCATCTGGTTGGGCTTTTATTTATTTATGTACTTTTATATTTACTTTATGTTATTGATATTTATGTATATTCATCTTTTCATTTTCATTTATAATTATATATTTATAGAACCCAACCAGATGAGGAAACTATATAGATACCCCACAATAATAATAATTTATTTTTCTCTCCACACACACATTAAATTAACAATATCGAATTGAAAAAAAAAAGGCACAAATTAATGTGAGAGACTGATGCCTAAACTAGGCGACGAACCTGTATTTCAGGTCATCAGGTCACCCTCCCAGTTAAACAAATAGAAAAGTATGTTATCTTGGAATACATATTTTAACAATAATGATACGTGTGTGTGTGTGTGTGTGTGTGTGTGTGTGTGTGTGTGTGTGTGTGTGTGTGTGTGTGTGTGTATGTGTGTGTGTGTGTGTGTGTGTGTGTGTGTGTGTGTGTGTGTGTGTGTGTGTGTGTGTGTGTGTGTGTGTGTGTGTGTGTGTGCGTGTGCTGAGTGAATGCAAAAATTACAACATTTACACATGTGATGTAAAAAGATCTTCCGTATATTTATAGTCCGTCATCAGTAACCATTCATGGATACATTTTTTAGCTTTTATTTTAGGTAGGACGTGAATATTAAGTTCCTTGTTAACTTTATTATACAGGTATCCGCCAAGATAGCAAAAAAATCTCCTAGAAAAGTAGGTACAATGGTCATAATGAGAAGTACACACTCCATCTTTGCGTCTCGTCTGCTGTGTATTTTTTGGTCATATTTTAATTGTGCATGTTTTTTTAGTACTGTGTATATAATAAACAGTTGCCGGACTGTAAGAACTTTGGAAATTTTATAAAGTTGACTGGTTGGAAATTTAAATGGAAGAGAGTTACTTACTTTTAAGATTAACCTTTGTGATCTTTCGAGGGGCAGAAGAGATGATTTGGTAGCCCTACCCCAGCACGTAATACAATATATTATTAAAGATTGGCATAGAGCAAAATAGACAGATTTAATATTGTTAGAATCTGCTACGCAACGGAGTTTTTTTTAAATATATATGTTAATTTCCGTATCCTATTTGAAAGTGAATAAATATGATCATGAAAGTTAGCTTATCATACAACAAAATGCCAAGGTATTTAATTGAATTCACTTTTTGCAAAGTTGTGCATGAATATGTCAGACAATAAGGGCAGGTTGCATATTTATTATTACGTTTGGAGAAGGACAAGTACTTTGTTTTATCCACGTTGAGGGTTAACACATTATCGCGTAGCCATTTGGACACTCTGTTTAAGCCAATCTGAGCGAAGTTAAATACATCTGGCCAAGAATCACCAGTAAATAGCAGTGCTGTGTCATCAGCAAACGTAACTATTTTTCCGTTCACTATTTTCAGTTTGTAGAGGTCATTAATGTAAAGAAGAAATAAGGTAGGGCCAAGAATACTTCCTTGGGGAACACCATAGCAGATGGGAAGCTCATCACTAACATGTTTATTAATTTTTACCAACTGTGTTCTATCTGTAAGATAATCTCTGAAAAGCTGCAACGGTACACCCCTTATACCAAGCTTCTCCATTTTATGCAACAATATGGGAACAGAGACCGTGTCAAAAGCTTTAGCCAAATATAAAAATATTCCTATTGTTTTCTTTTTTTCTCGAGGCTAAGTACGATAAACTCAATTAGTTCATGAACCGCATCAGCTGTAGATTTACCGGAAATCGGACTAAAGGGAGATATCACTTTACACGCCGACGACACCAGCCTCTTCTACTTTGGTCACTTGTTAGAATCAGTACTAAATGAAGCCCAGCAAGACTTATACATATTATACACCTGGCTACAGTCAAACTTACTAACAATCAATGCCTCAAAAACAAAATACGTAATCTTCACTGCAAATAATAAAAAAATTAAAGTCACAATCCTCTTACTATTGATGGTGAAATACTAACCAAAGTTAACAACGAGAAATATTTAGGTCCTCTTCTTGACAGTCGGCTTAATTGGAAACAACATATTGAAAAGATCCATAATAAAATCTAATCATTAACAAGAGCTTTAAAAACTATAGTTCAATGTCTCCCGAGACATGTCAAAAATACCACATATAACTCTTTAGTCAAGCCTCATTTAGATTATTTGATTGAGGTATGGGGCTCAGCCACTAAATCAACGTTGCAAAAACTACAAGTACCACGAAATATAATCATAAAATATTATTCCAATATAAATACTTTACACCTACCACTCAAATATATAAAGAAACAAAGTTACTTAATCTAGCCCAAACGTACAAATATAAAATATGCATTTTTATTAGAAAAATACTTACTAATGATACTCACTCTCTAACAAAATTTACAAAAAAGATAGATTATCATAAATGTATGACAAGGCAGGCTAATAACCTATGTTTGAGGTTACATAGAACAAACAATGGAAAAAGGAGTGTTCTTTATGAGGGAGCTCAACACTACAAAAAATACCTAAAAACATTAAAGAAGCAAAATCCCTGTCCACTTTTAAGAAATTACTAAAAAGCCACATTTTAAAGGATTTTTCATAATAACTTAATAGTCGCAAACGTTCTCTTTCTTTCTATACATATATGAAGTACACATGCAACCTTAATAATAAAATCTACAATAAAATAATTGTATAGAGATAATACAATATAATTACTTATATACAATATGATTATAGATATGAGACAATATATCTTATGTATATACATACATTTGTATATATGCATATGTGTGTATATATGGGTATGTACGTTTGTGTGTGTGTATGTATATATGCGATGTATTATGTGTATGTGCAACACTACTTATATTATTTTTTTATTTCATTTATTTATTCAAAGAAACTTACAGCTCTTATATTGCATTTGAATGTAAGGTGAATATTAACAATACATTAGCCAGCACAGTTTCCAACGATAAGAATTACATTGCCAAAACTTTAGACATAATTAAATGAAGTACATTTTTGTGTTTGTCAAAGAGAAAAACATACTTAATGCATGCCTAATAGCAATGTTAGTAAAGGTAATTTGATATTCAGAGAGAGAACAAGAGGTACACACTGCGCTTAAGCGTGATCAACTTGCTTAATAGATAAAATATAACCACTTAGTTTGCAGTTAAATATTTGATATATTTAACTGCATGGTTATATCGTTCACTATGTGTGTTGCAAGCACGGACCAGAAACCGATTTTTCGATTACTTAGTTCTGCAAAAAGGAGTAGAGAAAACTGCGTTGGAGCGAGCACTTAATCTAGGGCATCTAAATGAAATACGACTTAGAAGGAAGGGGGAATCTATATAGTTATGTAAAGTTTAAACAAGAACACCTGATCCCTATGTTCACGCCGTAATTCTAATGAATGATGTAGCGCAGAATGATCCTTAAATTTATAACTAAGTCTTTTCAGAAACTTATTTGAATGTGTGAAAGAGTATGAATGTGTAAGCCCAAGAATGCTATGGATACGAATGAAAGTGGGCTTAAAGAAGTTGTTTGTGTTAGGGGTCTACATGACCTATGGACTACTACGGACATGTCTAAGCCCACTTATATCCGGGAGCAGTTTTGGGAAATGGTAAGGATGGTGTTAATGAAGTGTAAGGGAAATGAAAATATTATTATGCTAGGAGATTTTAATGGAAGGGTTGGGGTGAGGAGGCTTGGTTATGAAAGGGTATTGGGAACGTTTGGTGATGAAAGTATAAATGAGAATGGTGAAAGCCTCCTCACCGTATGTGTGGAAAGGAATCTTTTTGTGACGAACACTTTCTTTCGTCATAAGAAGATTCACATGTATACATGGGAAAGAGGTGATGATAGAAACATGATAGATTTCATAACCGTGGATGAAAGAATGAGGAGCGCAGTGGTGGATACAAGGGTTTACCGGGGGTCCAACGTAGGGATGGACCACTACCTGGTCTTATGCCGAATTAGGGGTTTATTCAGACGTTGGCGGCATAGGACATCTGTGTCTACCACTCCGTTACAACGTATAAGAATTGAGAGTTTACAAGATGAAGATGTGAAAGACAAATACAAATGCAGACTGAGAGAAAATATAAGTAATTTGGATGAGTTGTGTGTGAATGAGTTAGACTTGGAGAATGTGTGGCATAATGTTAAGAAAGGTTTAGTGGATGCAGCTACCGAAGTATGTGGTGTTAGTAAGAGAACGAATGAAAGGAAAGACAATACGTTATGGTGGGATGATGAGGTACGTATGGAAGTTGAAGCAAAGAAGAGAGCATGGCTAGATTTACTGGCGACCAAAACTGGTAATTCTGGCGGTAAGAATGATGAGAATGAAAGAAAAAATGCTGAGTTTAAACGTTTAAATAAGAGAGTAAAAGAATTAGTTGAAAGGAAAAAGCAAGAAAGAACGGATAGGAATGATAGAAGAATATCGGATAATTTCCAGGCCAATATTAAAATGTTCTGGAAACTCGTAAGAAATACCAGGGGACTTTCAAAACAGCCTAGATTGAATGCGATACGAGACGAGAATGGCTGTATCCTGAATGATGAAGTGTTGAGTCTAAAGAGATGGAAGGAATATTTTGAAAGCGAATTTATGAGTGAGGAGAAGTGTGAACTAAATGAAATAGAAATTCCGAAAGAAGATGAAAGAGATAGGGAGATAAGTATAGATGAAATAATGAAAGCAATGAAAAGCATGAAAGTAGGTAAGGCAGCCGGATATGATAGAGTTTCACTCGAAATGCTAAGGGCTGGAGAGGACGTGGTGGCAGGCCTGCTGTACACCTTGTTTAATTTATGTTGGGAACTAAAGCGGGTACCGGGAGACTGGTGTCCCGGCCCGGCCGGACTGGCCGTGATAGTCCCAATATATAAGGGAAAAGGGTCACAGCAGGACTGTAAAAACTACCGTGGTATCAGCCTTCTTAGCATTGTGGGAAAACTGTATGCTAAGGTACTAATTGAAAGAGTTATGAAAGAAACTGATGAAAAAATTTGGGATGTGCAAGCGGGATTTAGAAAGGGAATGGGGTGTACAGATCAAGTCTTTTCCATGCGCATGATCGCGGAGAAGTTTTTGGCGAAAAATCAAAAAGTTTTTTGTGCGTTCATGGACTTGGAAAAAGCTTATGACAGAGTGGACAGGGATGTGTTATGGCAAACGCTGAACGCATTTAGGTGGAGCGCTGGTTTGATACAGGCATTAAAGTCTCTGTATAGGGACTCGAGTGCTTGTGTTAGAATCAACGGGGTCTACTCGGACTGGTTTGGCATCCATAAATGTGTCAGACAGGGCTGTGTAGCTTCCCCGTGGCTGTTCAACCTATTTATGGACAGCTGTTTGGAAAATTTGAAAGTTGAAGAATGCGGGTTAAGAATGGGTGAGTTAACCATCAAATGCCTTTTGTACGCCGATGATCAAGTCATACTTGCGTCGTCGGCGGCCGAGTTGCAAATGATGGTTACATTAATGAACAGGTCATTAAAAGAAAGGGGAATGAAAGTGAACGCAAGTAAGACGAAAGTGATGGTTTTTGAAAGAGATGAAAGCAAGACGGTATGTAGGTATAAGAATAGAAAGAGAGTTAATTGAGCAAGTGGATGAGTTCGTATATTTGGGATGTGTATTCAGCAGGGATGGGAGATATGATAAGGATATTGAACGACGAGTGAATGCAGGAAAGAAAGTAAATGGGGCTCTACACTCTATTGTGAAAAGTCAGAATGTGTCAAAAAAAGGCACGTATGGCAATTCACAGTGCTGTATTAGTCCCTACTTTAACGTATGGTAGTGAAAGTTGGGTGTGGCAGAAGAAGCACGAGAGTAGAATAAATGCAGTAGAAATGCGGTCGCTAAGGAGTATGTTAGGGCTGAATCTGAGTGACAGGGTGAGAAACTGTGTGATAAAAGAAGAGTGTGGTTTGCAAAATGATGCGGTGACCAGGATTAAGAAAGGAATGCTTCGGTGGTTTGTTCATGTAGAAAGAATGAATGCGGAAAGACTGACAAAGCAAATATATGTTGCAGAAGTGAATGGAAGAGTCGGAAAGGGACGTCCTAGGCGGAAGTTTGTCGACCAAATTGGCGATATACTAAAAATGGGCCAATTTAAGCGTACCATTAACCGACGAGCATGTATGCGTAGGTATATGGATGTGGAAGAGGCGAGAAAGGCATGTCAGGATCGTGCTAAATGGAAGTCTGTAGTCTCTGTCTACCCCTCTGGGTGACAGGCGTGAGTGTTTATGTTATATGTTTATGTTATTTTGAATCCTTTCTACTTATTCCACGTAATTAGTATAAATAGGGTTCCACACCGTAGATGCATATTCAAGATGACTTCTTACTAAAGAATTATAGAGCATAATATACGTGTTTATGTTTTTGAAGTCCTTGCATTGTCGGAAGACAAAACCTAACATTCTATAAGCCTTCGCAGTAGCCTTGTTAATGTGAGACTCAAAGTTTAGTTTATCATCGAGATATACTCCCAGGTCCATCACTCACTTACTCTCACTCTTTTTCACTCTTTTAATCAAAATATTATTTAATTTATAATTGTAAATAATGGATTGTTTTTTTTTTTGGGGAATAAGTACACATTATCAATATTACAATTACAATTAACATTTAACATTTACAATACATACCTATTAATAAATAACAATTACAAGTAACATTTATCAATATTTAATTTTAGATTATTAGCCGAAAAATATTCATAAAAATTGTTTAAATCGTTTTGAAATAGGAAAGCGTGTTCGAGATTCTTAACGAATGTAAATATTTTAGTATCATCAGCGTATAGTAAAGCTTTCGAATGTTGAATGCTACGCATGACATCGTTTATAAATATATTAAAAAGAAGAGGACCGAGATGAGAGCCCTGAGGCACAACAGAAGTGATCGGGACAAAGCTCGAGGTATAGCCCTTCATAGCTACTGTCTGAGACCTATCACGCAGATATAAGCTTAGCCATCTCAATAGATCACCGTGTACACCGACGTTTACAAGTTTAGCAATCAGTAGATTGTGCGAAATTTTATAAAATGCTTTAGAAAAATCGGTACACACGGCGTCAACCTGATAGTCTTTTCCACGGCCTCCAATGTTTTATCCAGAAACTCGCATAAGTTAGTTTCTGTGGATCTACCAGATATGAAACCGTGCTGACTTGAAGCTATTTGCGGTTTGTTTGATTGCAGGAAATAGGAAATAGAGAGTCGTTTTCCTTTTATAGAAGAGGGGGCAAAGGAGGACGCAACTCACGTGATGTTAAGTGACTACCGCCACCCATGATCAACCGCAACACCAGGGGAATTGCAGGTGCGTTGCCGGCCCTTTAGAAAAAGAGTACGCTCTTTTCTTGAAGGTCCCCAGGTCGTATCGGTCCGGAAAAATCGCTGGTGGTAAACTATTTCACAGAGAGGTTGTACGCGGAAGAAAACTCCTCTTGAAACGTACAGTGGTGGACCGCCAAGCATCCAGACGATGTGGATGGTATCGCGACATTTGCCGCGTAGTGCGATAATTGGCGGCTGAGATTAATCCGAAAGCAAGTAAATGAGCAAGTATATAAGCAAGTATATAAGAAAGTATATAAGCAAGTATATAAGCAAGTATATAAGCAAGTATATAAACAAGTATATAAGCAAGTAAATAAGCAAGTACATAAGCAAGTATATAAGCAAGTATATAAGAAAGTTTACAGGCAAGTATATAAGAAAGTGTATAAGTAAGTATATAAGCAAGTATATAAAAAAGTATAAAAGTAAGAATATAAGCAAGTATATAAACAAAAATATAAGCAAGTATATAAGAAAGTATATAAGTAAGTATAAAAGCAAGTATATAAGCAAGTATATAAGAAAGTATAAAAGTAAGAATATAAGCAAGTATATAAGTAGTAAATAAGCAAGTACATAAACAAGTATATAAGCTAGTATATAAGAAAGTATATAAGCAAGTATATAAGCAAGTAAATAAGTAGTATACAAGCAAGTATGTAAGTTATTATAAAAACATGTTTATAAGCAAGTATATAAGCAAGTATATAAACAAGTATATAAGAAAGTATATGAGAAAGTAAATAAGCAAGTAAA